CTCCTTTGCAGTAAAAAGTCTATACTTTTAAGGCCAGGATGCTATCATAAGAGTAGTCCCTGAAAAGGGATGAGTACAGGATATTTACATGAGGTAGTGTGGTGAACTTGATTGTATAATCACAGTAGCTGTCATCAAGGACTACCTGTCCATTATTATTGCACTCCAAGCTGGTAAAAAGAATGACAGATAAACCCCAAAGGAGGTGGGTTGGTTGAGGTTGGAGGCACATTCCTGGGTTTCTCACACTAATGTAATGGATGGTTCACCAAAAATGGTCCAACTGCAGCCTCATAATGACCCCTGTGAGATATTTTTTCAGAGGGAATAACCAGCCTTCTCAGGTATGACTTAGGAGGGAAAGGTCGATACTGCTTATGAAAAACGGGCTTCTCCCAAGCAGTAGAAAATGTTCACATGAGTGGGGTGAAGAACAAAATGAGGACAGAAAGCACAGATCTTAAATCTTGTCATCTTTGGCACTACCCAGCACCAGTATCTGGCTGCAGGGGACAGGAAAAAACAGATTCCCAAAGTCTAAATCCTACAAAAATTACTACTAAAAAACTTACAAACAGTAAAAACAGCAGAATAAAAACTACATACAATTTCTAAAATATTTTTCTTTTAAAAGTGCATTAGGGTATGTCTACACTGCAAAGTTAATTCGAAATACCAGCTGTTATTTTTCAAATTAACTTTAATAGTGTCTATACATACAAACCACTATTACGAAATAAATTCGAAATAGCAGAGAGCTTAATTCAAATTTGGTAAACCTCATTCTACGAGGAGTAACGCCAAATTCTAAATAGCTATTTCGAATTAAGTGCTGTGTAGACATTTAATTTGACATAGGGAACCCTGGTGGCCATTCTGGGCACAACCAGGAAAACTTTCCTCTCCCCCAGCCCCAGTGCAATTAAAGGGCTGGACACTGGCCACAGTGCCTGTGCCAGCTCCAAACCTGCCAGCCCAGAGCCAGCAGTGGCCACCTGGGCCCCTGACCCAGTGGCCCCAAAACATAAGCCAGCAAGCCACTGGAAGCCAGCCCTCCATTGCTCCCCAGGAACAGTCTGCTAGCTCCCAGGAGCCTGACAGGGGCTTAAGAAGGCGGAAGGGTGAAGATCATGGACCTTATTCAGGTTTGGGGGGGGATGCCCCCAATGTTCATGATCTCTGCACTAGATGGAGGAATGCAGCCGTCTATGGCAGAATAGCTGCCAGCCTGGCCACCAAAGGCCACATGCGAAACCAGGAGCAGGTTTGCATGAAAATCAAGTTGGTCCGGCGAGACGCCCAACCCTGGGCCCTGAGCTTCCCCTCCCCCTTCTTCTTGTTGCTTCCCCCTTCCAGCTCCCTCCTCCCCTCTCCCACCCTCTCTCTTCCCTTCTCCCACCTCCTTTTCCCAGTCTCCCCAGAAGTTCATCCCCCCCAATTTTGTTCACTAAACCCAGTTTCTATTTTTGAATATACATGTCTTTTGTTTGACATCAGGAAGGGGGGCTAGGGAGAGGTAAGTGGAAGGACATGAGGGAGGAATGGGGCACGAGCCCCCGGTGGGGAGGACTGGGGTGGCTCTGAGGGCTCCTCGGGGTGGACATTCTCCCGCAGGGCCTCCTGGATCCTGACAGCCTCCCGAAGGACCCCCCGGGTGGCAGCCTGCAGCAAGTGCAGCCAGGCTGATGTCAACGACCCCATGAGGTGCACCAGCATGCCCAGGGGCAGCTCTGGCTCCATGTGGCCAAGTGCTGTGGTGTCCTAAGTGGGGGCACTCAGGGCACTCAAAGACAGGACTGCTTTGCTATCCCTCATCAAGGTAGACAAGCAAGCAAGGAACCCTGAAAACTGTCCACGGTGACGGTAGGGTCCCTTTAAGCACGGAGCTCAGTTAGCCCCAGGCAGCAGCCCCACACACTAAGTCCTAACCTGATGCCCTGCCAGCACTGGTTCCGGCCAGCCTTAACTTCGGTTCAGGGGCCACTCAGTGTGGATGCGCTATTTTGAAATAGCAAAACGCTATTTCGAAATAGGTTTTGTGTGTAGATGCGTTAATTCAAATTAGCTTAATTCTAATTAACTATTTCGAATTAAGTTAACTCGAATTAATGCTGTAGTGTAGACGTACCCTTAGAGATGAGAGGACACTATCAGCTCAGACTTGGACCATGAGCCTGTGAGAAGGAACTGGAGCTGCAATTGGTCTGCCCTTATCTTTATCACCCCAAAAATCAGTGACGCAAGGCCAAAGTGCATGGAAGATCAACAGACATTACTACTTTCAAACTCTCCAGCTCCAGACAGATGGTATACATGTGCAAATTCTCTGTGGAATTCAATAGGGACCATCACTCAAAGAAAAACAGTGCAATATATAGGGTGCCCATATTATAGCAACATTAACTGAGTGTGTTGCTACACCAATTAATCCAATGGAGCTTGGATTCATCCTATCTAAGGTTCTGGCACAACTACTGGATTTTGTATCATTACCTTCTGTTCTTGCTGAGCTAACTCCTAGTAAAACAAGACAGACTCCCAATACAGGTATACTAGAAATTCTTCTAGATGGCCATTTCACAGTGTCGAGGAGACCCTTATCTCCCAGCTCCTTACTTTGGAAGAAGCTAGTTCTGGCTTCTTTGGAAAAGACCCAACCGTGCCTTTCTGCCTCTTTTCAGTAATCCTGGAAATGACTGAAGAGTTTAAAAATGTCCTCCTAGGTTTCCTCCTCGCTTTTAGGTTTTTAGCATCAAGTTTTTCCTTTTTTAGGTACTTTCCCAAAGTAGAATTCCTTGTCTGGTGTGCATGGATGGGGAAGATAGAAGATTTTTGGGCACAAGCGGAGTGCTTCCTTCTTATCTGCTCTTTTTTTTTCTTTTTAATTCTGGATACTTGTTTGCATGGGGCAGCTCTACTTCCTCTCCTCACAAGGCCATGTTTGACAGACATGGGTCCCAAAGCCTTTCTGGAAAAACCTGGTTCTCTACTAGTGCCTTCTTTCTTCTTCCACATTGTC